AAATGGCGACGAACTTCAGTACCCTATGTTTTCTATAGGTCGGCACTTTTAATGCCCCTTATAGGTCACCAGTTTAGTGTTATGGAGGAGGTCTGGTGCTGGAATTATTGCTCTCATTCTGGCGAGCGCGGCAATATGTAACATGTAACGCAATCAATGGTTTCATGTGTAGGCGCCCTAGCGTGTGCTTTTACGTTTGTACATGCGTATATGTGGGGGGGTCTCAATATTTTTTTTGGGGGGGATGGTATGTGCTTGGGTGTAACTTTAATTTTTTTACAATAAAAAAATTTTCTTTTTCTTTTTTTTCATCATATAGGGGACAAATTATGATTTTTGGTGACAAGTTCTCTTTGAGACATCAAAGGTCTAAGACCCCCAATGTCTCCCCTCTGCTCCACTGAATGTAATGTGGTGCACATCGCACCATATTACATTCTTTCCCAGGGATTGCATTACAATCTCTCAGCAGGGATCCGGAAGTGACATTGTAACGTCACTTCCGGGTCAGCACAAGAAGGGGAGCAGACTTGTCCGCTCTTCTCCCTCCCCTCTAGCCAACGGCGAGCCGGGCCTGCAGAAGGGCAAGCGGAGCCCAGGAAACCTCATGCCGGGAGGGCAGAGAAGCTGGCACTGTGTGCAGCAATGACAGGTGAGCCCTGCTGCTTCCTCGCAGCAGGGCTAAAGGTAGAAACTACCTGCCCGGCACCTGGAACTACATGTATCAGGTGTCAGGCGATAGGAATCAAACATCCCTGTGCTGTGTCACTGTGCATCCGCGGTGACATCTGCCGTACTGAGCAAGCACAGCTCCTGCTGCCATGCTGAGCATGCGTGCTCCATGCTGCTGTACTGAGCATGCGTGCGATTTTCACAAGTTTGCAGAGTTACCAGGAGGCGGGAAATCGATGGATTCAGCTGCCCAAAGTTAACATAGCTGTGGTGACATTAAAAGGTGAGTGCAGTTCCAGGCTACATTTTTTTAACTAAAAAGGCAGATTTTGATAAATGAAGATGCTAAATCAAACTACCCGCATTGTTACATGCTGCTTATTATTTTTCTGAAATGTATTAAGTTTAACTAACGTTCCTGTTTAAAGTGATTGTAAACCCTCACCTTGTAAAACAACCCCTTCAGTTTAAAATAGAAATGAAAAGCAAAACATTTGTGTATAGATATAAAAACACCATTATATACACCTTTTTATCCTCTGTGTGAGATCTGGGGAGGAGAAACAGCAGAACACTGTGTGGGGGGAATGTCAGGACAAGTCTAATCGTTGGAGGAGAGCAGGCTGAGTTCCCAGCACAGCTAGAGAACTGACCACACTGTGTTCTCCTGCCTAGTGTGGTCAGTTTTTAATAGGAACGCAGAGGGACTAGCAGGAACTCCAGAGATTTCACACAAAGGAAGCACCGCCATTCAGTTTACTGCTGTTTCTCCTCCCCAAGAAGCAGCTAAGAACAGAGGAAATGTTATCACTTATAAAATAGGGGAAAAAAGGTATTTATATTGTTTTTTTTTATCTATACACAAATTTCTGTTTTATGAATGGGTTATTTTAGAAGTTGTGGGTTTACAATTTATTATTTGTTTGGACTCTATTTCACTGAGTTATTCTATTTTGGTTTGTGCCTGCTTTGGCCTTTGTGCAATGATAGTGGGCCATTGCCTGCTAACATCACAAATCTTGGAAGGAACCTGACAATAATGTCAAGATCCACCCAGCTGCCTGATTTGATAGCTGAGAGCCGAAGCCAGCTGTGCCCATCCCTTCTCCAGCCTGACGCTCCAATGAGTGCTGGCGGGGCAGAGCAGAGAGGGGTGACTGACAATCCCTGCTCTCTGCTTGGAGTTGAATGAGCTGAGTGATCAGCGGCTATGTGATCGCTCAGTTCTTGGGCTTAGAGCCGGTGTGGGACCACTGCAGCATCCCATCCAATGCAGGAGCAGAGTGAGAATGTAAGTTTGTTTGTTTTAATTCCCACACTTCTGCCATCTTTAACCAAAAAGTAGATGGTACAATCCCATAGTAATACACACAAGCAGCTTTAGACCTGGAGAGCCATCCTGCCCAAATGCTGAGCTATGTGCTTCTGTAATATCAGGCTGTGTGCTCCTCCCTGCACACGACTGCCCCCTCTGTATACATTGAACACTGGGCACACAATCCTCCTAGTCATCCCTCCTCATACAAGGCACCTGTAGATGACACAGCCTAACCCAGAGGAAAACAGGAAGCGCTCAGCTCCTCCCCCATCTGTCAGCCAGCCCAGTGCCAGCCTATCAACAGCGCCGCATTGCTTAGAATTCTCTGGGCAACGCGACTTTACACTTCCGGATGTGCCTAGCGATGCATGACGGGACGTGTAGTTTCCCAACACCCTGCGAAAGGTTAAACAGAGCGCTACGAGAACTACATTACCCGTCACCCCCCGCTTCGGAAAAGGGTGTGTTTTTTCAGAAAGGGGCGGCGACGTCTGTCAACGGCTGTAGGCGAGGAGTAGGGGGTGGAGCTGCAGCTGGCGGCGAGCGGGGGTTGTGCTTCCGCATTGGAGACCGGCTGCGGCGAGTGTTGCTGCGGCTGTTGTTGTTGTGGCGGTGAGTGAGGATGAGTGGACGGTGAGTGCGGGCGCCATGTCTCAGCCTCCCCAGTCCCCGGCCCAGGCGCAGCAGCAGAGGAGGAGGGGGGATCGGCGCATCTTCTCCGGCACTTGTCCGGACCCCCAGTGCCGGGCCCGGCTCTTCTTCCCGGCTCAGGGCTCGGCTAGCATCGAATGCACGGACTGCGGCCAAAGACACGAGCAGAGGCAGCTGCTGGAGGTGGAGGAGGTGACGGAGCCGGACGTGGTGCTGCACAACCTGCTGAGGAACGCCCTGCTCGGTGTGGCCGGGCCCCCCCGCCGAAACACCACCACCGACATGGTGAAAGTCATGGGGCTCTCCAACTACCACTGCAAGCTGCTCTCCCCCATCTTGGCCCGCTATGGCATGGACAAGCAGACCGGCAAGGCCAAGCTATTGAGGGAGATGAACCAGGGGGATGTCTTCGACTGCTCCTTGTTGGGGGACCGGGCCTTCCTCATTGAACCAGAGCACATCGACACGGTGGGCTATGGCAAGGACCGCTCCGGCAGCCTCCTCTACCTACACGACACCCTGGACGACATCAAGAGGGCCAACAACAACCAGGAGTCGCTGATCCCCGTCCACGTGGATGGAGACGGCCACTGCTTGGTGCACGCCGTGTCCCGGGCCCTGGTGGGAAGAGAACTCTTCTGGCACGCCTTACGGGAGAACCTCAAGAAGCACCTGAAGGAGAACCTGGACAGGTACAAGGCCCTGTTCCATGACTTCATCGACGCGGCGGAATGGGAGGACATCATCAATGAGTGTGACCCTTTATTTGTGCCTCCTGAAGGCGTACCTCTGGGTCTCAGGAACATCCACATCTTTGGGCTTGCCAATGTCCTTCATCGGCCTATCGTTTTACTGGATTCCTTAAGCGGCATGAGAAGTTCTGGGGATTACTCGGCTACATTTCTTCCTGGTTTGATCCCAGTGGACAGTTGCAAAGGCAAAGATGGACAGCTCAACAAACCAATATGCATAGCCTGGAGCAGCTCAGGTCGCAATCATTACATACCCTTAGTGGGCATCAAAGGCTCCTCCCTGCCAAAATTGCCCTTAAAATTGCTTCCCAAGGCCTGGGGCGTTCCACAGGATTTATTAAGAAAGTACATCAAATTAGAAGATGATGGCAGCTGCGTCATTGGAGGAGATAGAAGTCTGCAAGACAAATACTTGCTGAGGCTGGTTGCTGCAATGGAGGAGGTGTTCATGCATAAGCATGGTATCCACCCTAGCTTGGTAGCAGATGTGCATCAATACTTTTATAGAAGAACTGGAGTAATTGGAGTTCAGCCTGAGGAAGTGACTGGTGCTGCCAAGAAGGCCGTGTCTGAAAATCGCCTTCACAAATGCCTTGTGTGCGGTGCTTTGTCAGAACTCCTGGTTGCTCCAGAGTGGCTGGCCCCAGGAGGAAAGTTGTACAACCTTGGCAAAATCTACCCATGGTCAGTTGAAGCCAGATAAAAACTACAGTTTTCCACTTAATAACATAGTTTGTTCTTATGACGCAGTGAACGATGTGTTAGTCCCTGATTTTAACTTAAGCAACTTAACTAGTTGCAATTGGTGCCGTGGTAATTCAGTCCGCAGAGTGAGAAGCGATGCCTCCATCGTTTATTTGGATGGCGATAGAACTAACACCAGGTCTTACGGAGGCAAATGTGGCTGCGGCTTTAAGCATTACTGGGATGGTAAGGAATATGATAACTTACCTGAAGCATTTCCTATCACTTTGGAGTGGGGTGGAAGAGTCGTGAGAGAAACTGTATACTGGTTCCAGTATGAAAGCGATGCAGGTTTGAACAGCAATGTGTATGATGTTGCGCTTAAACTGGTGACCAAGCATTTCCCTGGAGAATTTGGCAGTGAAATTCTTGTGCAGAAAGTTGTAAACACCATATTACATCAGACTGCCAAAAAGAACCCTGATGACTACACTCCGGTATCCATTGATGGAGCTCATATACAGAGAGTGGAAGATATTAAACAGGAGCAGGACTCTGATTCACACTTACCAACAAAAATTATTCTCACTGGCCAGAAAGCCAAAACTTTGCACAAAGAGGAATTAAATATGAGTAAAACGGAAAGGAAGCTTCAGCAAAACATAACAGAACAGGCATCAATTATGCAGAAACGTAAATCGGACCAGATAAAACAAGAACAGAAAGGACAAGTTAGATCCTCCTCCCCTGGGGCTATGAAAGATGGCTCATCTGGTCCCTCAACTCCCACCAAAACACCTTACTCCCCAACCTCCTCTAAAGAAAAGAAAATCCGTATTACAACCAATGATGGACGCCAGGCAATGCTCACCTTAAAATTCTCAACTACGTTTTCTGAGCTTCAAGAGGGAATAGCCAAAGAGTTAGATATTCCTCCTTATTTACAGTGCATTCGCTATGGGTTTCCTCCAAAAGAGCTTCTGCCACCTAAGGATGGCTTTGAAAACGAGCCTGTACCCTTACAACATGGTGACAGAGTTACAGTTGAGATTTTGAAAGCCAAAGACAAACCAGTACAACAGATGCCATCGCACTCCAGTCATGCTGTTTCAGATGAGGATTCTGCGGTGTCTGCAAAACCGATTTCAAAGGAGCTTCAAGACCAAATTGACAAAGAGATGTACTCCTTGTGTTTGCTGGCAACCCTCATGGGTAAGCAAAAAAAAAAAAACAGCCTCGCTTGTTTTCATTAGTGGACATCCTTTTTCCAGTTTTACACATTTGTTTCTTTGTAATATAAGTTGCTTTCTGTAGATTTTTATCTTCTATAATTTTGAGGCTCGTGTACACGTGGTTTTTTTTTTTTTTTTTTTTTTTTTTTAATTCCACTTAAAGGACAACTTATCTAGTACATGTAGTGTGGAAACACACACAGGTTCTGGTACTGCTGTCTAGTCTGTTTAAAGCTGACGTTTAGGTATGGACTCTTTTGCCTAGTAACATTGGTCCTGCTTGGACCAATGTAAGCATGCATGTGCCATACTAGAAGCTGGAAATCACTGTAGTAGGCACTGCTACAGTGAATGCTGCTGTTTTCTTGTCTTACGCAAGGCTTTCTTTCTGATTGGTGCAGGTTAGGAGGCTGGGCAGCAACGTCCTGATCTCCACCTCATCCAATTAGATAATGCTTTTAAGGTGCATAAATATTTAAGGTGCTTCCTCAAAGCTTTGAGTCAGTGGCCTGGAACAGGTATGCAGATAAGGAATTATGAATTTCTGGATCTGCAAACTTGTGTCAAATAGGCAACTTGGTCGTTGTTAAAGCCAGTTTGGTAGCCAGGCAAATAGCATTTCTCAGGGACTAATTCTGCTTTAAAGTTCATAAAACATAAGCTTTAAAAGTGAACTATAGTTAAAACATTTTTTTTTTTTCTTCATTTTGGGTAGAGTAAGGAAGGGTTATAATCCCAGTCGGGTTTTTTTTTTTGTTTTTTTTTGTCATCTGTGTCCCACTGGGGAGACAGTAAGTGAGAAGAAATCCCTCCATAGTGTGGGAATCTGGTGGTCACTGTGATCGCTAGAACTAGTACCTCCATTGGAAGATTTCCCTTCTATTACTATTACAGTTGATTCTGAGACAACCCAAAATTTGGGATTTTCTTTTACTTTCAATAACTGTAAACAGGACAAATATAGTGGGTGAATCTATGTAAAGGGGGCACATCAATAAAAACCTGACGTGTTCTAGTCACCATATTTATGGAAAATGTAAAAAAAAAAAAAAAATTGCCTTTTAATTATAACCACTAGCCTACGGGGCATTTTTATCCCCTTCCTGTCCAGGCCAAGTTTCAGCTTTCAGTGCTATCACACTTTGAAAAGACAATTGCGAGGTCATGCAACACTGTACCCAAACCACATTATATTTTTTTTTTTTAGGCAGATAGAGCTTTCTTTTGTTGGTATTCACCACTGGGGTTTTTATGTTTTGCTAAACAAAAAGAGATAATTTTGGGAAAAAAAGCGTTTGTTAGTTTCTATAAAAGTTTTACATCATGTTATAAATAAGTAATTTTTCTCTTTCAGTGATGTGTGCTGATGAGGCTTAACTGATGATAGGTAGCACTGACAGGCATCACTGATGGGCACTGATAGGCGGCACTGATGCAGAGGTACTGATAGATGGCTCTGATGGGCACTGATATGTGGCATTGATGGACACAGATATTTGGCACTGATATCTGACATTGATGGGCACTGAAAGGCAACATTAATGGGCACTGAAAAGCAACATTAATGGGGTTGCACTGATAATCAGGGCACTGGTGATCAGTGTAGATGTCCCCTGTGAGGAATGCTACTTGGCGGCTCTCCTCTCCTCACGCCGACAGCAACAGCGCTAAGACTGCCAATAACCGACATTTCCTGTTTACATGTGATCAGCTGTGATTGGACAGAGCTGATCACATGGTAGAGCCTACATCCTCAGGGCACAGTGCACCACCAATCGCTGTGTGCCGCTGGGGGCACACATGCACAGCTAGAGTGGGAGGATGTCCTATGATGTCCTCCCAGAATGAGAGAGCTCTCGCCCATCCGTCGTTTCCCTATATGGCGGGAGGTGGTTAAATAACTCATACAGCAGTTGTCAGCACTGTATGAGCTGTGTGTAGCCTCAACTATATACTGTATGCAGAACTGTTTCGGTGGTGGTGGGATAGGGACTTCCTGCCCCAATTCCAGAACGAAGTCGAGTCTGGCTGAGTGTTGTTCACCCATTCACAGGGCGCTTTGTATTTTCTCAAGGAACACAAAGCTACCTCTGATTGGCTGAGGCAGGTGAATGATGTCACAATCTCCACCTCAGCCAATCAGAGGAAGCCTTGTATTGAGAAACAAAGCTCCCTGTGAATGAGAGCAGCACTCAGCCCGACTTGATTTTATTTCAGGAGCCAGACAGGAAGTCCGTCCCCCCCCCCCCCCCCCCCCCCCCCCCCCCTTATCCCTACTGGAACACAGCGCTATGTGTAGCTGACACACGTACAGTTCATAAAGCGCACACAGCAGCTGCATGTGTTAGTGAAGGAAGTAGTTCTTTGGACCAGCTTGGTCCAAACAAACTATATAAAGTTCACTAAAGTGTTGAGTTAGGCTTTAAGAAAAAAATAATAAATGCACTTTTTGCAGTGGAAAAAAAATGTGCATTTTATAATTTTTCTCCACAGGAGCATGCAAAGCATTGCACACATGGGTGCAATGTCAGGCTCTTGCCTAATCTTCCTTCAGCTCTCTGCCTATACCTCTGTACAGGATTTTATTTGAGAGCTGGTGGAAGATTCAGTGAATTATGAGTGTGCTCATTACTGCATTCAGGTCTATTGAAAACCACAAGTCAGTCTACCAAGATGGCAGATCTTTGTGAATAAATAATGCAGTTATATGGGCAGAGCTCTGATCAGCTGCACCGATTTTAAAAGCGACAGCTGCTGGGGGGGGAGGGGGGAGAAGAACCCCTGCATGCTGTCAAGGAGTGGGATGCACAGCAAAATGTTACACCCAGAAATACAGGTGTAACATGTTACTAAAGGTATAGTTGGCCTTTGAAGTGGTTCTAAAGGCAGAAGGTAACCTTCTGGGTGCAGCTGCCCCCCACAGCTTTTTCAATCCTTACCTGAGCCTGATCTCGATCCAGTGATGTGTGCGGGAGCCTTGGCTATCCTAGGACTCTCATTGCCTCATGCTGCTGTCAATCACAGCCAGTGAGCCAATGAGAGAGTGGGGGGGGGACCATGTCTATTCACAGGAGCACAGCTCGGTATCCCCCATAGGAAAAGGCTTGCATTTTGGGGCACTAGGCTGTGGGAGGAGCCAGGACTGTCAGCAGGGGACCCAAAAAGAAGAGGATCAGGGCTGCTCTGTGTAATGGTTTTGCACAGAGCAGGTAAGTATAACATGTTTATTTCTTTTTTAATTTTATTTTAATCTTTAGAATCACTTTTAACACTATAAGCATCAATAGTTCTCTTACAACAGGATAATGTTGAATAACACCGAGAACACTAACCTTAAAAGTTCCTTAGTGCTGACAATTTTTAAACAAGTTTATTTTGGACAGACATCCCTTCGTTTTGTAGCCCTCTGAGGAACACTGCATCAGTGAATTATTACTAAATAGGGTACATTCTGTTTTCAGTGTTTGTGGGGGTTATAGGTGGTGAGAGATTTTATATAGTCTGTTCGCTGATGAAATTGATAGAAAGTAATTAGTTCACAAGCCATTTTGTAATTTAATGTTGTTTAAAAAATAGTTTTCTATTTCAGTCTGCAGCCATCTGATTTTCTTAAATTGCCAGATAATGCCATTTTTGTTTCTTTGTGACCATGGCAACACTGCGGGCATTCCTTACAAGTTGTATACAGAACACCTTGATAAATCTCATTTCCTACTCATGTGTTTGACTCGCTGTTTTCCTTAGCAGTTTTTTACTTATTGCAATACTGAGCCCATTCATATGTTAAAGCAGAACTCAAGACAAAGCTACTATATGGCCTGATTTTTTTTTTTTTTTTTTTTTATAAATTTTGTTTTACCAAAGTTACACTTTCAGATGTTGAAATTATAGCCCTGAACAAGGACTTGGACTTTTTACAATTTTAAATAAAGAACAGAGGTGAGCATTGACTCGTACATCTAGGTTCCAAAATTTTGCAAAATGTGCCGCCCTGTCCCTCAATGAACACCACCAGTATTTTTAAAACATCCCGGAATCACTGCTGTTATTTGACCTCTTAGCCTGGGTTTATACTGATGCTGTGTGGAATTTGCATTGGTTTCTGTGCGATTTCCGCACCGCATCACAATCTCACCCTGTTCATGCAAACCGCTGGGGATGTGTATGTTACGTTAACAGCACCCCAAAATCCGTTCGCAAAACGTGGTGCGATGTGTAGAATCGGACTGCTTGAGTGTGAATACCCATGCGATCCGATTCTGGTGCGGACCAAAAAAAGGGTCCTGACCTTTTTGGATGCGGTGCAATTTGAGCCATACAAAACGTATGACTCAAATCGCACCGCACAGAATTTGCATGTGATTTGCACAGGAATGCCGTGCGGTTCCTGTGTGAATCACATGCGATGTACCACACCGCACCAGTGTGAACCCAGGCTTAGCCTTAGAGATCATTTCCATAATAATATGATGATACAGCTTCTATCGCTTGCAGATCATCTGTCTTAAATCTCACACCCCCCCCCGCGCACACACACTTTGTCATAGAGGAGGCAGTCGGCTCTCAAATGTAAACAGTAGTATTGTTTACATTTAGACCCCATGCATACGGGGCGTTTTAATAACGCTGGTAACGTTAGCTGTGTAAAGTGAGTTTTTCAACGTTTTTGCATTAGCGTTTAGCAGCGTTTTTTAGCAGTTCTTTTTTACCCACAAATGTTTTTATTTTTTGCTGAACAAAAGTCCAAAACACCAGTTGCCGCGTTTTTCAGTGTTACAGCATTTTTACACCTAAAGAACTCCTAGAAACCCACTAGTCCTGGGTTTTTTTCCAGCCAAAAAACGCCCCTGCCAAAAAATGCTGATTACAGTCTGTGTGTGAATGGACACATAGGATAACATGTTGGGGAGTTTACTGGCTGTAGAAAAAAACTGCAAAAGCCAAAAACAGCCGCTGTAAAAACATCCAGTGTGCATGAGG